GAGGGAATGTAGCTATCGAGGTCTGCTTGGAAATGTAGATGCAGCCAGAATGTTATTGCTCTCATCCAAGAGTGGCTTGACCCATCTCAATGCACAGCATGGAGTAAGGCACACATCTAGAGAGGCCCATTAGTTTTCAGGGAATCTTGGAATGCAATGTATTAAATGATTTATTGATTGCAGAAATCCAAATAGGGGAGACATACAGTAACAGAGAACCAATCCTAGCCTCAAAAAACTTTGAAGGTAGTAGAGATATATTGGATATATTGCATTAAGTGTTTAAGACCAATACTAGATAAGGACAATAGCACAGCATCATCTGCATATAAGAGTAAGAGAATGTGGGTAGAGTGGAACTTGGGACTATGACCATTGACCAATGCTAAAGCTTGAGATAAATCATGCAGGAATATGTTGGACAGAGTACGAGCATGCAGCCCTTCTTGACCCCATGTGTAGCACTAATTCTAGAAGTTATCTGGCCTTCCTCAGAGAATCTAATTTGGCAAACAGTATTGGTGTACAATTGTTTAATTAGAAACAAAAGTCTGGGATTGATTTTCAAAGACCCCAACTTGTTTCACAACAGGTTTCTTGTTACGGAGTCAAAGGCTCCTTTTAGATCAATGAAGCTTTATACATGGAGTGTTTGTTTGCCAAATGTGAAAGTACTAAGCAGTGGTCCAAGGTTGACTTATCCTAATGAGATTCAACTTGCTCAGGGCCAATGATTTTATTATGATCCAGCCAGGTTTGCAACTTAATTAATAGGAATTTTGCATAAGATTTCCAATTACCAATAGAAGGCTAATTGGCCAGGAATTGGAAGGATTGGTAGGGTTATTCTTCTTGTAGATTTCAGTAGATCATAGGTATTTCTGCAGAATTAAAGCTAGTGTGCCAATTATGCCTGTTCCTGGAAAAGTTGGATACTACATACCTTGGTTACATCCTGTTGGGATTACCGCAATGCACACTATATAGGGCTGCCTCTGAACAGTGCTCAGAAACTTCAATTGAGTCAAATAGTTGCAGCCAGATTGTGAACTGGGTCTGGCTACTGGGAGTGCATGACTTCCTTGTTGCAATAACTCTACCGGCTGGTCTGTTTTTGAGCACAATTCAAAGAGTTGGTTCTGATATTTAAAGTTGTATATTCTTTGGGACGGTATATCGTATTTCCATTTTTGAGCCCAGCTGGAGAGGCCCACCACCTTCTCAAGCTTCTTTGGTGAAAATAAGGGATAGGGCCTTCTTGGTGGATGCTCCCAGGCTTTTGAACTCCCTCCCTAGTTGCTCTCTTTCTATCTGCAGGTCATAACATTTTTATGCAATTACGTTTTTAAAAAACTGACTGTGGTTGGGTTTTGATGCTGTGTGGTGTTTTTGTTTTTAAAGTTGGCCTTTTACTGAATATTAATATTCTTAATATTTAATATGTTACCTTTCTACATTGTTGAATCACTTTTAAAACAACTCATATTTATATTTTTATTAGTGATCTTGTTTAGTTTTAATCTGCATGATTTAAAATATATTTTGACCGCATTGAGACACATTATTTGGAGAAAGGCAGATTATACATTGATAAAAAATAAAATAAAAGTACCCTTCTAGGCAATCTGGAATCCTTTTAGCAATTTCAAGTAAAGTAGGCCCTTTCACTCAGTTGCTAAATGACAAGCCTGCCCTTATGAAAATCTCAATGATTTAATTGTTCTGCTCTAATTGCACCACAAATAGGGTATAGGCCATATTTCTAGTGTTTCATTTTAAAGCCTTTCTTAAACACATTCTTTAAGAAAAGGTATACATTGTAAATTGGTTTTATTTTAATTTTTAAATTGAGATCTATATTACATTTAATAATTTATATACTATAGTATATATGTGGTTGTGGTTTGATAACATTAAAACATATTGGGCTCATTAATTCATTAATCAATTAAAAGCCAGCAAATCAATCAATTCTTTACTCAGTTGATAGCTCTGAGGAATAGAAAAATGATTGCTTGGTATGACATTTGGGTATTTGTTCTCTTTTTGTGTTTCTCCTTCCCCCCTTTCTTGTTATGGTAGTGTATGTCTCATTAAAACTCAATAAAATTTCTATTTTAAAAAGGCTGCAAATCAATCAGTTCTTTAATCAGCTGATTGCTCTGATATAAACTGTGGTTAAATCCACACACAGTTCTATGCTTTTGATTGCAAATTCTCCCATGCTTTTTATTTTAGAATAATGTACAGCACAGTTTCATTTTTAAATCACTGTGGCAATTCACATTACTTCTTGGAGAGTTTCCCACTTGTTTCCACACTATCAATTTTACACTTTAAATTGTTCTGGCTCTCTTGAAGTATGTATAGTTGGAGACACGAATAATTCTGTGTGATGATGCTGTAAATACACCACTATGGATCCAGAACGACCATTCACAATGTCCGATACACACAATGCCCAACTAGCGCAATGTATTATCATTTAGAATAATAACTTTATTCCCCCCATTTCACTTTTATATGTCTATTTCATAAAATTGAATGTTAGCCTTAAGACATTTTAAAGAACCTAATCCAATGAATCTAATCAGACATAGGATTCTCTTTCTCTATTTTTTCAATGCTTCTGGAGATGCAACTCAACACGGGTCCACTTGGACGCAAGTCCCCATTGACTCCTGTCCCCATTGCTGTCAATCTTGGTAAAATTGGGGTGGGGGAAGGGGGAAGCTATTATTATTTTTTAAAAATCTCTGCTTTGGATAGAAAAAATATATAATATGTATCTACAAAAATTAAGCTACATTGACGTACTTGGACATTATTTTCTCCTGAATTTAGGATGCATCTACACTGTAGAATTAATACAGTTTAACACTACATTAACTGCTATGGTTCAATGCTATGAAATCCTGGGAGTAGTAATTTGGTGAGGCATCAGCATTCTTTCTCAGAGAAGGTTAAAGACCTGATTCATTGATTCCATGGCATTAATCCATGTTAGTGAAGCTGAATTGATTCCACAGTACAATTGCACCCTTGAGGTGCTGTTGCTTCTGTATAATGCTTTTTGTGGTGGGAAGAGGGCCAGAAAATATGGTCATCATGTGGTGAAGCAGGGAATGAGAGAAGATTGTAACAGTAAAAGTTTCCCCTTGACATTAAGTCTATTTGAGTCTGACTCTGGGGGGTGATGCTTATCTCCATTTCTAAGTCGAAGATGTCCATAGATGTTTCCTAGGTCATGTGGCTGGCATGACTGCATGGAACACCATTACCTTCCTGCCTATTGATCTACTCACATTTGGATGTTTTCAAATTGCTAGGTTGGTAAAAGCTGGGGTTGACAAGGGGAGCTCACCTCATCCTGTGGATTCAAACCACTAACCTTCCAGTCAGCAAGTTCTGCAGCTTAGTGGTTTAACCTGCTGCACCAACATGGGTTAAATGGTACTTTGCTAATAATGCCACATGTCATGAATATGGGAACGCAAAACAAAGCAGTGCTTATGGAAATAACCAGAAAGCACATGCCACAGAAGAACAGAAGTTAGAACAAATTAAATTGCTGTACCTTATATCACCAGGAAAATATTTTAGGCATTCATGGCAGTGTTTACTTATTGTCTCTGCTTACATGTGAAAACTGAAAAATTTAAAGCAGAAGGAATACCTACTATCAGCCACTATTAGCCTGGCTTCCACACTATATTGATTCAGTCATTGAAAGTGTTGGATCCTGTCATGCTGCTTCTCAATCACCATTTACAAGATAACATTGTAAACTGAGAACACTGTGTAGCTCACGCAGGAGGAAAAAGTATCCAGACTAAGGGTGCAAGTGAAAGGTGATTAGCTATCAATATTTTTTTCAGGGTGTGGGAGAAACTACTTAATTGCTTTCAGATTAATTGAGAGGAATCAACAGAAATTCATACATTGCTCTAATGTTATTGGCCTTTTCCTACTATTTCCCATCTTTATCTATGACTTGACAAGGATAAATTCTGAGATGGGCCTCTAATTTTCTGACTCACAAAAATTGTGCTTTTCATTCATGGCACAATTGAGGCTCAATCTACACTGCCATATAATGCAGATTGAAACTAGATTACATAAGTATGTTCAGTGTAGACTTTTGTAATGCAGTTTAACTGCACTGAACTGCATTATATGAGTCTACACTGACCATAGAAGGCAGTTTCAAATGGCAATATATGGGAGTGTAGATAGGGCCTGAGCTATGGCACAGGAAGATTTCTTCTTGAAGAGCATGTAATATGAAACATCCCAGTAAGAAATCTTCACAGAAATAGATCTATGTAAACTGTGGATATGAATACCATGAAACTTGGAGTGGAATCCAGTGGAATCTTTCAACTGACAGAGCTGCTTCCATCCACAGGGTGTGTATATATCTATGATCTTCTTGCTATCTACTGCACATCTTTAGCATTTACTCTGGAGGACTGGGAGATCGCCTGGAGTCAAATGGACCAGTTCATGTAATATTGAATTCTGATACTACTGGTTATTTAGCCAATTTTTCAGGGGGTACCATCCAAGGTCATGCTAGTCATATGACCTTGGAGGCATCTACAGACAATGCTGACTCTTCGGCTTAGAAATGGAGATGAGCACCACTCCCCAGAGTTGGACACAACTAGACTTAATGTCAAGGGGAAACCTTTACTTTTACCTTTACCATCCAAATGTTTTCTTTTATTGTGGAAATAAAAGTAAACAGAAGATGTTGACAAAATACAGTCATCCAGATGTGACTGAATAGCAACTCACTTTATGTCATACTATTCACCCTGCTGCTTAGAGCTTCTAGGAGTTGCTGCTAAGTCTGATCTGGAGGTCAGTACTTTGCCCACTCTTGCCATATAATAATGTTTATGGAAAAATGACTGCCCTAAATCTGTTTTACAGAAACCTAGGTAGCTAGGAATCCTTATACAGGAATGTTAGAGAAAGATGTGAGAATGCCTTACCTAATGTCTGCCCAGCAAGTATTCTTCCATTCTCCCCCAGGACAGCAGCCCGTGCATGCCTCTCATTGGAGTACTGTACAAATGCATAGCCCTTGTGAACGGAGCAGCCCACCACTCTGCCATATTTAGAGAAGATGGTCTCTACATCTGACTTCTTGACCACTGCTGTGTTGAGGTTCCCAATGAATACTCTGGAATTGATGGACTTGGGGTCATTCTTGTTTGTGATGTTACTGGTCTGCACTTTCAATGACATCTTGACACCTGAATAAACAAGATAGGAAAGGTCAGGAAGGTACAAGCATAATATGGAAAATATCCTTCTTGTGTATGTGCATGAGAGAGAAATGGAAGCAGTGGTGAGCACATGGAATGTAAGCAAAGATAACCCATCAGTGACCTGAAGAGAATTAAGTGAATTTGGTACTAATGAAAACAAAGGTAATTTCTTTTGGTCAGTTATGATGACTCATCCAAAAATGAATTGTTACAGAACCAGAGAAATAACCATTTTGTGGTGTCCTATAAACATAGAATCATAGTGTTGGAAGGGATCACTGGGATATCTATTCCAATCCTCTACTATACATAACTAAAACCCTCCCCAAAGATGGCTTCCCAATTTGGATTTGAAAACCTCCACCCTCCAAGGCAGTTTATTTGCTGTTGAATCTTATCAAAATGGACCATCAAAATATTTGGCTTCAATACGGTTTAAATCATGAAATAGCTTTCTAAGATATACAGAGATACTTTCAGGAACATCTCAGTAAGTGAGAGTCCAGAAGTGGCAGGCTAAAACTGGAACCTCAATCCATGGTTGATATCGAATGAAAGACTCCCTCCTGGGCACACAGAAGACTGGGTGACTTGGAAGATGCTGAACAGACTGCGCTCTGGCTCCACGAGATGCAGAGCCAATCTCAAGAAATGGGACTACAAAGTGGAATCCATGACATGCAAGTGTGAAGAAGAGCTAACCACAGACCACCTATTACAATGCAGTCTGAGTCCTGCCACATGCACAATGGAGGGCCTTCTTATAGCACTCCGAATGGCCAGCTTCTGGTCAAGGGACATTTAGTATAATGCCAAGTTTTTAACTTTGTTTGTGTTTGAAAATACAATTCAACTGTACCTTCAATTTGCTTTGTGCATGATAAATAAATAAAATATACATCAAATACCCTGATTTCTAGTAATTGTTTAGAAATTACACATTGTCTTGGCAGTGATGCAAAGCAAAAGATTGGACAAAAAGACAAAAAAGCAGGTTGATGTAGATTCTCATTTTTCATCCATATCAGAGAGTGCAACAGTGTAAAACCTCTGGAATATGAAGAGAGCTTCTTACCCTGTTCAATCCCCGACTCAATCAAATTATCATGATTGGCCATCTAGAGTCCTAACACAGGAAAGTTCCATGCCAAGATAGAGTCACCAGCAGTAAATACGTTTATTTTAATTAGCATCTGTTCATAACAGAACCAACATCTAGAATCTGTATAGAAAATGTGCATGCTAGACTTTGGCATCCATGCACCACCTTTGCCATGCCTCTTCCTATATTCATTCTTCTTTAGATCACAGATCATAGGTGGGCAAAGTGAAAACTGTCCACTGTGCCTTCCATGATATTTCACCACCCTTTCCCAAGTCTGTTTTAGGCTGGGCAGGGGGATAGGGATTTTTCAAAAAGGGAAGTGACTCTTTGGTTACTTATAGTTTTGAAAAAAGGTGCTTTAGAGGTCTAAAAGAGACTAATTCTTATGACATCGGTGTGTTTGTGTGTGCATATGTGAGTTGGGAGGAAGTATAGGATGAATGTAGCTATCCATGGCCCAAGGAGGCACATGATACTTTTGGACTTCAAGAAATCCCTCTTATATATCTTAAAAAGAATTATGCTTAGTAAATCTGAGTTCTAATTCATAAAGGATAAAATGACTTCATTTCTGAGAATGATGGGCATTGTTGATGCCCAATAATTGTTTGGCACATTTAGTTTGACTTCTTGCCAAAGACCTGTCTGATAAGGGAGACCCTACCAACAGTAGTGCTATCATCAACAAAGCTCTTGCCTCACAGGGGTTATGGACTACCATGGAAAGGAGGTATCAAGTTGGTGCACTTAGAATTCTTGCTCAATTTTTTTGGGAGACCTCAATAAAAATAGTCACTGAATTCAATTCTCACTTAGGAGACATCCACTTTATAGGTTAGAACAGGAAAATGGCTAACAGCAGTGGAGGGAATTCAAATAACTTCTTTCCTTATCAACCAAACCAACTCAGCTAAAGGTTGTTTCCTGGGGAGGTGAAGAAGAAGGTAACACTCCCAATATGCCTCTTTGTATCAATTCTTCCTGCCTCCCTTCTGGAGTCTGTGCATCTAGGACCAAGGTCTTTGTTGTTCTTTCCCTCCCATATAAGCATCCCCTGCGTGTCACATTCATGCTGATTGGCAGTATAACCCACTTGTTTTTCTTTTCACACAGTTTAAGCCTTTTCCCAAGCAATTACAGCAGTAACTTGGATAGTAGAGAGATCCTGTTTTCTAGGAAGATGACTGAACACTAGTTTCAATATTCAGAGTCGTGTCGGCTTTGGAATTCCGCTAGGCATGTCAAATTCACCTTTCCCACTGCTCTTGGGCCTTATGAATCATTCATGCTCTCGGATCAATCTGAATAGATTTGTACTCTGCATACACAATCCAAACAGAGCATGGAGTCAGACTAGTTCCCATTTTCATTCCCACAATGTGATGTCAACACAACATAGTGTCACTGAGCTCAGCTCCCAGTTGGTAGCTTGAAAAATCAGACCGGCGAAGCTATTCATCTTTCCCTTTTTTGTGATCTTTGGCAGAACGCATCCCCAAATCACAGTGCTACATGGGCTGTGTTTATGCGTGGCTATGAGAAGGTGCAAAGGTCAATGTGTTCTAATAAGATAGAAGATACGCACAATTTTGTCTGATATATTCCAATGAAAAACTTTGTTTTGCTACTTCAGAGCAAGGCTGCATTTAGTGGGACCTATTTTCAAGTAAGCATATAAAAAATCACACTGTGCACAATAGTTTTAAAAGCAATAACAACATGGTGGTTTTCTTATTACTTTCCCTTCCATTCTTTCCCTTCCATTCATTTTGGAATAGGCATGATTGTAACAACATCCCATGGGCTATACTAACCAGAGAATGTGATACATAAATGGGGAACTTGGAAAAGTTATTGGCTAGGAACTGTAATCCTAAGTATTTTTCATGCTTTCCATACATGGCATATTGCACAGCATAATTGTGGCCTCTGTTCTGTTAGCTATGAATCACCCCAAATTATATGCTTCTGGTGCATTCTCCCATTTGGCTTTTTTGAAACTCCCTTAAGTCAGAATAAAGTGGCTCTGCAGTGAGCCAGCCAGCCAGCCAGCTGGTGTTTATAGTTACTACTTTAGGTCGCAACTAGAAAAACAAACAAGAATATCACATTTATTTGTCATATAGCTGGGAAAGTTGAAAATTGACTCCATCTATTTTTTTTAAAGCATTGACTACATTCCCAGATGAAGAAAAATGTAGAAGACTGATACTTTGGCTCAGTGCTTTTTCAGCTACCCCACAATTCACCAGAGATTGCTACCACATTATTCACATTAACTATAACCGCTTCTCTCTTTCCTAGAAGTTCTCCAGGAACTGGTAGCTGGTGGCTGGTCTATAGACTGGTCTATAGACTACCACTTTGAGCAGTGAGTGTAGAAAACTACCTTTTCTTATGTCAAGTCATTCTTCTATTTAGTCCAGCATTCTCAGCTCTGACTGGCAGACGTTCTGCAGGGTTTCTAAAAGAATTCCTTTCTAATCCTATCTGGAAAACCTATCCAGATATTAACTCAACCTTGTCATGTTTAACTTCTCAAATCAGATGTGTTGAAGAGAGATATCTTAAGCTACTTTACAATATGCCAGGGACTGTTAATGTATCATACCCATCAATCACATTTTTTCTTTCTTTTCTAGAAAGGTTTCAGTGACTGGCAACGGGTGTCTTGTGGAATGGTACTGGTCTGTGGGCCACCATTTTCAGTAGTACCAGTCTGGCTGTCTTGAAGAAAAAAATATTTCTTTTTTCAGGAGTGGATGGAAGGAAGACTTTGTGGTTGGGAGAAAGTTTAATGTGCTTGTATCTGTCTATTATGTGAACACCAAAAGATGAAGAAAATGCATAATCAGGCATATGCACTGGCCAATGCATAAGATGAAGATGAAGCTTTCATGAGATTTTTCCCATTGTTTCCCCTCATTCATTTGCACCTTTTTAAAATTTAAAATTAAGTTTCAATTTCAATCTTAAATTATAATTAAAACATTTCTGAATGAATATTCAGATTTAAATATATATTTCAGTAAGTACTCATGAACACATTTTCCCACAAAATGCATATTTCTAATGGAATTGTTTCTAAAAGATGGATCCCAAAGATAGCTATTCCATTAAAATGACACTTGATAAATGCATTTGGATACATTTTAAAGCCAAGGATTCCATTAAAAATCTAGAAATATGTAAAATCCAAAGGACAATGCTCCAACCTACATATGAGTTTGAAAAGTGGTTATGAGGCCTGTTCATATTAGAGCTTGCATATATCAAATTCTTCAAGCATCCTTGCCACCCTTGTTATTTTGTCCCTTGTTCCTGTTGGTTTTTCTCATCACTGTCTTCTTTCAGAGTTTCATTTAGCTAGGTCCCAACTTTTTTTAGAAAAAGCCATCAACTCTAACAAAGAAACAACTGTCTGTATACACCAGCTAGTTGTGGATGTTCTACCCTTTTCTATTTTGAGTGGGGCTTCATTGATTCTTTTTCACAGCAGGGCTACATTAGGTGCCATGTTCTCATTACAAACTCTATTTGAACATTGAGTTATCATTGAATTTCAGCATCTGATATGTGTTCAATCAGTCTTGTCATCCCTGTTCGCATGACAAGCTGAAAGAGAAGAGCGGAAGGGAGTGAGTTATTTCTCACACCGGGAATGCCAGTTTTCATCAAGCTTTGACCTGATTGATAGCAAAAAACCTTCTGGACACTTGTTAAAAGCCCTAGTAAATCAGCTGGTTTCTATTCCACTGCACCCACCCCATCAATGAATTATAGTTCACCACAGTAAAAACATCACCTTGTTTCTCTCAAAGGTTGTATAAGGAATGCCCACAGCTCCCTAATAGCAGCTGAAAGCTAATATTACATCGTA